CTGACTTCGTAAGGGTGAACTAGGTACTAGGATTCTTCTGAAGTACTGTGTTGAGAGTTGTATTAATGTATCTAAGTTTAATTCAGAGATGATATTCTGCCAGTTTGGCTAGATCTGCTCTTATTAAATCCATTCTCTACATTATCGTAGAAAAACCATCCAGTAAATCAAAGCCTTCTGGCTAGTTTCAGATTTATTTGCAGAGGGAATACATAGAATTAATCTCTCCCTTGGGAGAAATTTCTCACTTCTTACTACAGAATCCTGAAATTGGCAAAGTACCAAAGTCCACTGTGTTCAGCCCATCGTTTTATAAATGATGGCTTGGGGAAGGTAGAAATTATTTAATACCAGGCTGTGAACTTTCTCACATAGGAACTAGATAGCCCCAGTAATAAAAAATCAGAAACAAGAATTCTGTTATCTAAGGGAACAAAAGTGATTTGAACTGCCCAGGGAGAGATGGAACTGGAGCCCTTACCTGGGGACTGAGCAGCACCAGGGACCCGCCCTTAAACGTGTGCCTCTTGTATGATGGGGGCTGTATCAAGTCAGCATCAGATAAGGGAGCTGCTGGGTTCCGGTTAAGCTGGTCCTATGTTTAAGTGTAAAGCCAATAATCTCAAATTTAAATAGTCACAGATGATGGCTTGCTAAAATGAAAGGCATTTAAAGATCTTCCAAATTCTGGAAGTCAACATCGCCAAACTATGTGGATAGCTACACAAACAACATGAGTAAGGCTTTTATTAGCATAAATTCGGCAACTGTTAAAATACTTCATTATAAATAGTAGTCAGGAAGAGGCAGAAGTACAAGGGTGGAGAGTCTCCAAAGCCTGTTCATAATGTCATAGCAAATTCACAACTTGCTGTGCTCCTTCTATTTGAAATGAAGTGACAATACCTACCAGTGCTATTTTAAACAAACAAAATGAAGTTAACTCAATAAATACCTTTTATTAAAGAAAAAAAGGAATATTGTTAAGCACCAAAACTGTATGTTGTTACACTGCATGTACAAGAAGAGAAAGTGATTGCAATACTTGCTGTACAAGTACTTAACTCTGAAGTCATGAGTGTAAAAAACATGAAAATACAAAGCAATACAATAATTACAACGCAGAAAAGTTGCACTAAGGAGCAAAAGGCAACAGTCAAAACAATTACTGGAGATTTCAGAGTATTGCTATAAATGCCTGCTTAGTTTTTTCTTTGTACTTTTAATACTTTAGAATATTAATGGAGCATATTTAAGTATTGTAAATTTGCAAAGAGTTGGCATTTACAATACACTGTGCACACTTCCGTTTAATGTACGGTGTTAAAGCCTCTTTAAAAGCCAAGCACAATGTGCTAGTGTTTTGCTTCTACCATTATAATATTGCACAAAGCTAGTAAATGGTGAATTGGTTTGCCATTGTAATTTTCACTTAACCAGAAAGGCTAAAAAACATGTCAGTTTCAGTAGCCCTAATGGGCTTTAATCATGCAAAATGATCTGTAGCCTTCCATTTTTCACAAACTATATATTATGGTTTCACACTTGGCAAGACATACAGTACGAGAAACTCAACGAGACAGTGGGGATTCTGTCCAAGTTAAAGAAGTCAGAAGTCACTGTCTGGGTGGTATTATCTATCCCTCTTGGTTCACAATTGAAAGGAAAATGCCATCTTGTGACCATGAAGACTTCTTAAAACCAATATAATTAGTACTGGGAAAAGCTAGAATAACTTGTTACACTCTTGGATAGTTAACCATAGAACATGCAAGTTTAAGAAAAAAAACCCAAAACTTCCCTTGTTAAAATTCACCTCTATAACCAACACCCATACCTTTGTGTATACATCTAAAAATGACTTTCCACGGTCTTTCCTCTCCACCCTTAACTCCCCCAAATTGAGCCACCCTTAGTTATACCTGACTTTTAAAAAAACCAACAAAAAACTTTCCCTTAACTCTCAAAACAAATGACTGCTTTGAGATTCAATGTGAAATAGCATTGATGAAATATTTATTATATGTCAACCTCCGAGGTATCTTCTGTACATGCACCTTAACAGTGGCATAATAAAAGTGGGGAAGGGGAAAAACATTTATGAATTTGAATTCAATCAAACCCCTCAAATACCAAGCTGTACATTTATATTTGTGGGTAAAACAATATTTTAGAGTGACCGTATCTTCCAAATAACCCAATGGGCAAACATGTCACACACGCGCGCACACACACAGGACCCCGATTCCCTCTCACCCTTAAAAAAAAAAACTCCTCTGTTTACATACATGATAGTTGAGGCAGCAATATAAACTCATTTTGTAGGAAAAACTTTTAAATTAGACTATAGGATGAAAAATACCATTGCTTCAACTTACAAAGCAATTAGGCAGAGATCCCTCTTTATGTGCTTAAAATAAAGAGCACTTTGCAGCGAAGTTCAGAAGTAACTACTGAATTGTTCAGGAGCACTAAATAAATGCAATATGCTCCAACAGTAAGGTGCTTCTACTCTCTTACCACTTCCATCTGGAATATATCTTGCTGGTCAATCCTCTAACACTAAGCATAGCTCTTCTTGTATGCTAAGCTATAAATGTGAAATAAAATCTGTTTAAAATGCACGTTTAACTTTATATTATCATTTAAATTCAGTGCAAGAATTAGGTAAAACTTGTTAAGGTTTCTGCTCTCATTATCAAATGGTTAATGCGTCTGCCACGGTTTTTAAATGTTTTACAGCTGTTCAAAACGATTTCTTACAAATAACCTGGTAATAATGTATATGAAATCTGAACTCCCTGATAAGGCCTTTAAAGGACCCCTTACTATAGTACTTTACAGGTTGGTATCTGATACGATGTGCATACTAAAATAAATTATAAAGGTTAAAAAAAAACAACCAAAACCCCAAAACTTTGTATTTAGTGGAAGAAAAAACTTTCCTTATGCTAAGACTAAACTGACTTAGGCATTGACTTAAATTTATACACAAACTCAATGAATGCAATTAAAAAATGGAATCTTAAGGAATGTATAAAATTAAATTGTGTTAATTGTACACTGGTCCCATTCCAAACAGAGGATGCTGCCTGTTCATTTTTGTTCCACTGATAGGTTTAATTCTTAGTGCCTGCTATGGCCTAAGTACGCCTCAGAATTTAACACATTTTATGGCAAAGTGGCCATGCCATATGTTACCAAAAATTGCTACACAGTTCAGCTTTTAGAAACAAGGATTTTTGCCCCCTCATTTTACACAGTAAATCAAAGTGCAGAAAATTCCCTATGGTTTCATGCAATGAGGAAAACCCCACTTTCCCACTGTGGAAAATACTATACCTGGTCAACATTTACGGCTGAATCTAAATTTGTTTAAAAATACACATTAAGAGATCTTTCAGTTCCACAATGAACAACTAGGGAATGATTGTTTTTATGCTGCTCACAAACTCAAAACCTATAAAACATGTATCAAGTAAGCAAGACAATTGCTCATCTCTTAAAAATCCTCTTTAGCCAGGAATTTCACCACACTGCCCCACCATAGTACCACCCAGATTTGAGATTAGGAATACCTTTTCTATATGTACCACATTGGTTATATACACAGCATTTTGACTGTAAGTGGGAGAACTGTTTAAAAATGGCATTCAAGTGAGCAGTAATCTTAACCTTAAAATATCCTCAGGTTATCTCTTTCCCTATTTAAAATTTATTAGTCGAGACTAGATTGGTAAATGAACTTCTAAAGTGATTCAGCACAAACAAGGAGTTGTTTGTGTATTCTTATGACAGAAATGACACATTGAGATGTAACTCTCAAATATTTTAAGCCATATAAATAGTATGGGCAAGTGTGGAACTTGAAATATGTGATCATCTGTAACTACCATCTTAATTAAATATATTAGAATTTAATAAGAGCAAAGACACTTTTTTTTTTAAGGGCAGGGGGGGAGGAAGGGGGAATAACCATGCTTACAGAATTGTTGGGTTCCAAACTGCATTAAAATTAACATGAGGAGGGCACCTGGGTGGCTCAGTTGGTTAAGCGACTGCCTTCGCGGCTCAGGTCATGATCCTGGAGTCCTGGGATTGAGTCCCACATTGGGCTCCCTGCTCAGCGGGGAGCCTGCTTCTTCTGATCCCATGCTCTTTCTCTCTCAAATAAAATCTTAAACATAAGGAAAAAAATTAACTTGAGGATTCAACCAGTAATCTCATCCTGGACAAGTGGACTGTACTTATTTGAAATTTTAACACTGTGAGAACTCCAAAGGTGGATGATCTGCAGTAACTTGTAATTCTGTGCAAGTAGGAATCTGAATCTTAAGGATGGAAAATAGGTGTGGTGGAGAAAGTTTATTTAGCAGAGAATAAGTACAGCTGGTTGTAAACAAGGGTTTGCTTTAACCTACTCATCATCTTCAAGTGAGATAATCTTCATGAAGTGCCACAGTGGGATGTACTCAGAGTTGTGGATGCACCCCCAAAAGGATTCACAGGGGTCTGTACCCCCTCCAGAGTACTACAGACTTACTAGAACATGGTTCTGGAAGACAAATCACAGTACCCATTTATGAGTGAGCCTGTTTTTTAATGGAATCCCAGCTGTAACACTAAATAGGGAGCAAATTCCTGACATATAAAAGTTCTAGTGCTTTTGCTGTTAATTTAATGTTAAGTTCTCCTGTATTTTTCTAAATATCAATGAATGAAAAAACAAACTTATTCATAAGCATCCAAAGGCTTAAAACTGATACATGATTTTTTTAAGGTTTGCAAATTTGCTTAAACTTTTTTGCCAAATTATATTAATCAAACCAATCATTATTTTGGTTGAAAAGCACGCTTCAATGCTTTACTGAAGCAAACGGGGAAAATTCCACACCCACCTCCCCCACTGTGCGATAAAGATTAAGTCTCTATACTAGATATATATTTTAACCTTCCAAGGTAAGATATAGGAATAATACAACAAGAAAACTAACGTATTGTGTAAAAACTGTGCAAAAGCTCCTACTCTCATCAATAAACAGAAAATTTTCTCCATAATCATTTTAAAGGAAATACATCTTAAAGTGACCAAAGGTGTAAGCATGTTTTCTCTCTTCTGAAAAACCAATTCATATGCATTGGAGGACTTTTACTCTGGGACTGCTTTCTGGGTCTAGGCCAGAGAAATGCCTCGGAAGAAATAAAGTTCTTTTTGGTACATCAGTCCTTACTTAACTCCCTTCATATAAAGGCCAACATCTCTCTGATGCAGAATTACACTCTACAGAATACTACAGACCGAGTCTGCCATATCTACCTTCATTCAAGCCCACAACACTCCTGCTGAGAATTCATAATGGCTCCATTCATATAAATGTGCCCTTCGGGGTGCCATTATGGCAAACTCAGCACCTGGAACTACATACGTATGTTTTAAAAGGTCTACTAAAAGTAATAAAGGCTCTCTCCCCAAATTCCACTCAAAACATGTGAAGATAGTGAAATGCTATCCAAGGAGGCTTTTCTGCCTGTCTACTTTCTGCATACTTGTAGAGCACACTTCACTGTGGAGCATAAAAAGAAAAACTTAAATGGTGCATGTTAAACAGACTTAAGATCTGCATCCCTATTATTGAATCCTCATTTTTGATTCTCAATAGGAAAGTCATGTTGAATTACACTAATCAAGCAATCGTTCAAACAAAAGGACTAAAAATAATCTGAAATATTATCAAGTTACAAAGTATTGCTTTTCATAAACAAAGCTGCACATGAAATTCAAACTATTATAAATTCACAATTATGAAGAGCTATTTAAAAGCATGGAAATTTTTACTTCAAAACCTTACAAAGTGTGAGAGTATGTGGTCTTTTAAAAATACGCCATGTTAAATGTATCATGTTGTGGTAAACACATTAAGTGTATCTCCATGGTTATATATCTTTTCAGATGTTGAACATCTTTATGAAAATTCCTTTGGAGATGAGTAATGTGGAAATTTTCAGTGCATTTCCATCTGATTCTTTCCAATTCCTGTCCTATAGCTATCATGATAAACTTCTTTTTCAGAGTGTCCCGACTATACGAGCTGATACAGAAGAAGCTCTGTGTTTTCAAGCAGAGGACTATTCAGTGCACTTAAAGATGGATTTCAAAGCAGTCCCGATACAGCTCACAGGTCTCTGTCAACCCAGTGTTCTTCAAACTCAGAGCAACCCCCTAGCTTGACTGGCCACTACGAAGATGTACATGGGTGGACAGGAAGGGAAGGTGCTTAAAAAACCAGGCATCTCTGGAAGGCCTTTTCTTCATTGCATCAGGAACACTGCACATCTAAAACTCATGTTAACCACCAATATTGGAATGACTGGAAAAGCGTTAACTTGCCAATTGTGCTTCCATTTTTTCATAGCACTGAGCCAACACACTTTGCATCTAATGGAATCCAGTTGGGAAATCACACATTTAAAATTTTGTTTTCCAAAAAAATCTTTGATCTTCAACTGTAGGTGTTTTTTTCTTTCTGTTGAGTCACCTGTTTACAAACAAAAATATACAGTGTATTAAAAAATATTTACTTACTAAAGACTGTGGTCTTTTAAAAATATGCCATGTTAAATGTATCATGTTGTTGTAAACACATATATGTTCCCACACAACTTTTGCAGTATCTGGCACTGATATTTCTTATAAATGGCCATTTGTAAAGACAGTATATAAGAGACATGTTTTAAAAAAAAATGCGTTGGGCGCCTGGGTGGCTCAGTTGGTTAAGCGACTGCCTTAGGCTCAGGTCATGATCCTGGAGTCCTGGGATCGAGTCCCGCATGGGGCTCCCGGCTCAGCAGGGAGTCTGCCTCTCCCTCTGACCCTCCCTCCTCTCATGTACTCTCTCTCTCTCTCTCTCTCTCATTCTCACTCTCTCAAAATAAATAATAAATAAATCTTAAAAAATTTTAAAAAAATAAAAAAATGCGTTTGTATTCTTAAAGCAATAAAAATGGAAACAAAATAATTAGAATACAACTTTGAACACTTAGAAGGTTGTATGTTAGATTCACTTTTATTCCTTTTAATTTTGTCAGAACTACACAATAAAAAGGACCAAATACAACCTAAAATGCCAGCCTCATAAACTGCCAGTCTATTAAGAATTAAATGATATTTTAAAAATTCACGAGAAAGTGAGTTTTTTGTTATACTGACATGTAGAGGACAGGATTAGTACCGGTCTTCACAGAGATGTTTTAGCTAAGTTCCGGAATAGTTGTATTCGAGATCTATTGCTTACACACTGCACAGGAGCACTTATATGAAAAACCCACTTGGCAGATAAAAAGGAACATGTACATAAATCAAGTCCTAACTTATTTTTATAGTTCTGCATTATCTAATACCGTAGCTACGTGTGGCTTTGGAGAACCTGCAATGTGGCCAATGTGATTGAGAAAGTGAATTTTTAATTTGGTTTAAATTAAAATCTGAAGCAGTATAAAGTATTTCTCTATTAAATGCAATTTGATTGTTTTGCTAGGACATTTCAACTTTAACCACTGAATACTTAGCATCCAAATTGAGATGTGCTACTAAGTATAAAATACAAACTGGACTGACTCAGTAAAAAAAAAAAATAAACTACATTGTGAATTTTTTATATTGATAGGATGTTGAAATATACTATTTTGGATACATCATATAAAATAAAGTTAAATCAATTTTGTATGTTTCTTTCTACCTTTTCAGTGTGACTGTGAGAACTGTTTTAATTACATCTGTGGATCATACTGTATTTCTATCAGACAGTGTCATCATAGTTACTTCTTAACTTAAAGGAGGAACCCACAGAAAAGAAATTAGAAACTAACTATAAAGTCTATATAATTATATGTATTTACTTATGTTTAGAAATTTCCTTCCAGGACACTATTACCTATGGCTGTTTCTGAAAAGAGTTTTATTATTATTTTGAAAGATTTTATTTGTTTATTTGAGACAGAGAGAGAACCCAAGTGGTGGGGAGGGCAGCAGAGGGAGAGGGAGAAGCAGACTCCCCGCTGAGCAGGGAGCCAGATGTCGGGCTCGATCCCAGGACCCAAGATCATGACCTAAGCTGAAGGCAGAGGCTTCACTGGCTGAGCCACCTGGGTGCCCCACTGAGAAGAGTTTTAAAGGAAGACAAGGCAGAACAGGAGATACTCACTTTTTATTTCATGAAGTTTTGAGAAATTATTTTTTTCTGAAGAGCTAATTAATGATTTAAAACCCTCAAGAAACAGATTTGTAATAGGAAATAAAATTATAGACCTGTTAGCCATCTGTAGAGAAGCATCTAAAAGTTCAGTCTTAAAAACAATTTCCCAAGACCACATACAAGGCAGTGAGAATAGCTCCTTTATCAATGCCTGCTCAAATTGGTGGGGATTACAACTAGTCTATGGTTTGCTTCTGGTACAGGATACATTGTTCTTTTATAAGTAACTTTGCAGATATCTGAGCTCATGTGTTTTCTGGGAGTATTTCACTTTTCTCTCAACATTAATACATATGCCAGCCATAAGTAATAATCAGCCAAAAAAATTTTTTTAGGCAATTTTCAAAATGCTATTCACTGTGGACATATTCTTAACATAGCTCTAAGGGTAAATTAGCAGCCAAAAGCTAAAAATAACCACCCAAGCACTTGAACATACGAACTGCTGCTGCCATGTCTACATGTTGGGCAGGATCTGGTGGGATGGGTGAAAACAAATGGAGATGATGGGCTGGTCTGAGCAAGTGCTGGTGGGCCATGTACCCTAACTGGGCTACTGCAGGCAGCTGTAACCAAAAGACGAAAACACTCATTTATTGAAGGCCCAACTGTGGGGTTAACTAATCAGTGCCTAAGATGGTAGTTTTAGGCATAGGCTTAGCAGCTCACTGAGAAGCTCCAAGCAAGAGACAAGGGGATAGGTAACAAGCACTGTGAAGTGGCAGACAGTGTGGAAGATTCTCAGTCAGATATGCTGAATCCCTAGACATAGTCGCATACTGAGTAGACACAATAATATATTCGTATCTTCTACAAAGCATGGTGTACAAAGGTATAAGCACAAATGGTTTGAAATTAATTTGGGATCCAAAAACACTGGGGTCCTACAAAGTGATAATTAGGGCCTCTATAAACAGAGGAAAAAGGGATACCAACAGCCCAGTGCCCAAGGCAGGACAGTGGTGCTACTGAACGCTAGCTGGAGCGCACAAAAAAGGTAATATATAACCACTTATCGAGGGGAACGCGATTTTTCACCCCCCGCTTTTTGTTAAAGCTACTGATTAGTGCAGATGCTGATGCGGAGAGGTAGGGATGAGAGCACTGTAGAAGAACATCTACATTTTCCTGATGGATCCATGCCCAAAAGGAGCAGGTAAAACTGCTTTTAGTAGTATTTTATTTGATATATCCCAAACAGTATCTTTCAACATGTTAGTAATATAAAAAAATTAATGACACAGTTTACCTTTTTTTGTATTATGTCTTCAAAATCTAGATGTATGCCTGCATATACATCAGATCTACTCAGTCAGAATCCATGGAAGTGAAAGCCAAGAATCTGCATTTTTAATAAGCTCTCCAGGTAATTCTATGATCAGGCATGTTTAAGAATCACTTTGCTAACAAATAAGTTTATTATTTTTACCTACTTCCTTCCCAGGGCTATCAGTCTCCCTCCCGCCCCTCCAACTTTTGGTGAATGTTGTAAAGCCCATAGAAACAGTCCATCAAGAGAGTATAAGATACTTACTAGAATATATGTGCATATTTGCATTACAGTTTGCACAAGTTGTAACATTTCAGTTAGGACTACTATCAATTCTAAATATACTATTTATAGCATATGCTATCTTTAATGACTGTATTTAGCATAATTTGTGCCATAGAACTATATAATTAGCTTATTACTAAAATGTGGTAAAGTAAAAAACTCTATTACTTTAGGAGAACCCCAAATGTGTTACCAGTACCCACAGGTGTACTCAGAAAGATATGCATACACTTACTACATATTTATATTAGCTGCAATTTTATCTGTATCATGCAGTGACTATGATAAGCCTTAAAATGATAAACCTTCATTTTATAAGCTTAGAAAGCTGAATAATCAGACAATGCAATCATTTTTCTAAACTGACCTCAGAAAATTCCTTTGTAGGCAGCTAAGAAGACACCAAAATTCAATACACATTAAGTTTGTACCTGAAATACTTTAGTCAGAAAAAGCCTTTTCTGTATTTATTTTTAAAGATGTTACGTGTCAGAGAGAGAGCACAAAAGCAGGGGGAGCAGCAGCGGGAGAGGGAGAAACAGGCTCCCTGCTGAGCAGGGAGCCCAAGCGGGACTTGATCCCAGGACCCCGGGATCATGACCAGAGCCGAAGGCAGACGTGTAACCCAGCCACCCAGATGTCCCGCCTTTTCTGTTTTTAAAAACAAGAAATACGACTGTCACTTTACTGAGATAAGACTACCTCTTTATTTGGGCTACAGCTATACTGTAGAAATTTTTCATGAGCAGGATATAAACACAGCATTTACATAAGAGTATTTTTGGAAAAGTGCTTTACTGTTAAGTTTCTAGAAACTACACAAAACCTGAAGTTCATAAATCTGTGGTCCATGCTATAACTGAGCTGTATAATAAATAATAAATCTCATCAATAAAATCTAACAGACCTCCTCATCCAATAGAAAAGCTGTATTACTGATGCTACGAAAGAAAATAGGACCATTTACTTGTTAGTTTTCCCAGTCTGTGCAAGGCAAAGCTTCCTCTTCATCCTCTGACTCAGGGGACGCTTCTTTGATTCTTCTAAGAGCTTCATGGATGCTTCGTGTTAGAGGGTCTGTGTCAGGCAGAAGTGTGAAGGATTCTCTCAGAACTTCCTTCTGTACCTTCTTCAATTTTACCCCTTTCCTGATTTGTGCCAAGATATTATTACTATCATCTTCATCAGGAAAAGGAGGTAGAGTTCGCTGTTCAACCTTTTTCAGATGAAAACTACCACGCTTCAAGGAAGCTAGCACCTCATCCATGGGTGAGCTCACTTTACAAATGAAAGAGAACAATGACAGTTAGGATCATGATTAAGAGTCCAACTGGCAACCTCTAGACTTTAGGACTGTGTTAGCCAAGGACATGGAAAACAATATGGACCATGAAGTTTGGACTGAAGGTTTCCCAGGAACACATGGGATCCCAATTATGCTTGGACAAAGAAACAAACAAAGCCACAACACCCAGACTCCAAGTCCAAGTTATTATTTCTATCATTTCCCATGTGAGAGAAGCAAGCAGATTGGGAGCTAGAAGGTGCTCTTTGGGAATATAATGGGTGAGACTCCCAAAGGATTTCCATAACGCACCAGTTCAATCTAAATTCAGACAGCAATTGAGTTACAAATGTAATTTTAAAGAACTAAGTTTTGATTCACTATGGTGATTTTTTATTTTTCTTTTAAAGAGGTTTTTTTTTATTATTATTAAGTAAACTCTATCCCCAATGGGGGCTCAAACTCCTGCCCCTGAGGATCAAGAGTTGCATGCTCTAATGACTGAGCCAGCCAGGTGCCCCGACTACAGTGACTGTTCTGTTTTTTTCCATTTAGTTGTTCTACATATAAAATTCTACTCCAGTTATGGTAAGAAATATTTTACAGTATGGTCTCTCAGATTAAAATTTAACATGCACATTGTTTTATATAATATTCTACCAATGAAATCTACGGACCAGGATTATTCTGTTCTTTCCAAGAACAGCTTTATTAAGGCTTATCTGACATGCAGTAAATTGTGTATGTTACTCCCCATTCTTCCTTTATTTTTTATTTTAAGATTTTATTTATTTACCTGACAGAGAGAGAGAGAGAAAGGGAACACAAGCAGGGGGAGTGGCAGGCAGAGGGAGAGGGAGAAGCAGACTCCCCGCTGAGCAGGGAGCCCAATGCGGGGCTCGATCCCAGGACCCCGGGACCATGACCTGAGCCGAAGGCAGATGCTTAACGACTGAGCCACCCAGGCGTCCCCTTCCTTGCTTTTTCGTACAGAGAATACCAAGGCCCTCAATAAATATGTGACCAAATGTTACATGGTCCTGCCAACGTCATCCTAGTGTGACAGTCCTGCCCAGCTGGCTTACTTTCTCTGATGTGAATACCTTCCTTGTATTTCCTAGGTTAAATCAGATTTTATTTTAAACATAGAAGGAACCACTTCCTATGTATTACCAGAGAGACCAAGTATCACTTCAAAATATATAGTTTTTAAAACATCTCTAAGAGCTCAAGAAGGTACACATTCCTGTGTCTATACACATTTGCCGATGTGGGTTGGTACGATTTCCGCCAAGCTGGGACCATGAAAACCTATCTGCTGTCGAATAATGTCCGAAAATGAAATGTTTTAAGCTCTGTAGGGTGCTATGAAATAGAAAGTCCTGTGCTTACGTCTCACCCTATTCAGCAGAGGAACGTGAATGTGTCTGTCGAACTTACCTCTCCTCCTCTGCAAAGCTTCAGCAGTCTTTCTGAGCCGCTTCCGGGCACTGACCAGCTGGCTGCTGTCAAACAGCTGTGCCGGTGGTGCGCTAGCAGGCTCCGCGGTCCTCATCTCGCTCCCCTCTCTACCAAGTTGACCTTTCTCCAGGGTCTCCAAGGAGTGGTCCTTGGCAAGAGGCAGAGGGGGCGGCGGTGGGGGAGGGGGAGGAGGGGGTGGGGGCGGAGGGGGTGTTGGAGGAAGAGGTGGGGGGAGTGGCGCTATGGTAACAGAACCCGGTTCGAGGTCAGTATTATTCAAAAGTGGAAGAGAAACCGCGGGCGGCAGTTCAGAGGTAACACCACTGAGAGGTAATGAAGGGGCTTCAAGTTGTGCTAATGAACTATCTTCAAGCTGTGCGAGGCTCTGGGCTTCTGTTTTCTGCAATGATGTGAGCTTCCCTCTTCCTTCCTCCACCATTTCATTTTTCTCTTCTACCTGGGGCGCTCCTGGCAGAGAGTCACACTGGTCCTCACAGGGCACGGGACTGGCTGTGCTTCTTCTTCTTGAATGAGCCAGGCGCAATCTGGTTGATTTAAGTATGACTTGGCCAGGGTACCTCTAAAAAATCAGAAGGTATCGTAACTGGTCAAATTACATTAAAACAATTTATCAACAAATGGCTATTTTCTCCTTCAGATGCAAGATGTTATTTTGGACCTTTTTTGATTTTTCAGGGAAAGTTCTTTAATAAAGTTAAAACAGAAGACTACAATACCAAAGCATAATACCACAGCATAATACCTTTCGACAATTATCACTAAACTCTATTTGCTTATCAAATCCTTTATCAAGGCCCTGGTCCTTTCTTATCCACTTAAGAAGCCAACTGTTCAGAATTACCATAGGATTTAAAGATTTTTAATGGCTGAAATTACTAATTTTAATGACAAAATAGCGAGACAAAATACAAAACATAAATGATATTGGTACATAGAAAGCTATGAAACTATTAGCTTCACATGTATTTTCACATGCTTACAGATAAAAAATTAAAAATTAATGTTCTTTTTAAAAATGTTTCTTGGGGGGGTGCCTAGGTGGCTCAGTTGGTTAAGTGGCTGCCTTTTGGCTCAGGTTATGATCCCAGGTGTCCTGGGATCAAGCCCCACGTTGGGCTCCCCCCTCAGCGGGGGATCTGCTTCTCCATTTCTCTGTCAAATAAAATCCTCTTTAAAAATTAAAAAAAAATAAACAATATATACATTTTTATGAGGGAAAGAGAGGGAATAAAATTTTTAGTACTAGTATACACAACTCTTTTTCTATCTTTTACTACAGTAAAACCTAGCATTAATGGATCTGGTGAACAACATTTACTTAACACAAGGTTTATCCTTGTCAGCACAGACCATGAAGTAAGACTCCTGAGCACTTCTGCAACTAGAACCATTCAGCTTAAACACAGTTCCAAGGAAATGTCTGGCTGCTGTGATACTGGCATCCAGGTTCATGGGTTGTTAGCCTCGCAAGAGAACTGCCAAAATATTTCTCATGTAGCTTGATCCACTCGCTAATTCTGGCAGGATCACTTCCATAGATTGTTCCCACAGGTTATTATTGTATGTGCTATTAATAACAAGTTGATGCCTGAAATGGACTCTATAGTCAGTTGTGAACTAATTAACTTTATAAAACTAAAATAAATACATACATACATACATAAAAATTTTTAAAAATCCAGGTTTGCCAGAGGCCCTGACCATTCCTCTTATCCTACTGAAGTGGTAGACCAACGGCACGAGGGTATTAATGTGGTACACAAATGGAAGAAAGGTATGGGGTGCCTGGGTGGGGCAGTCAGTTAAGTGACCGACTCTTGGTTTCAGCTCAGGTCATGATCTCATGATCTCAGGGTCGTGAAATCAAGCCCTGTGTCAGGCTCCACACTCAATGCACAGAGTCTGCTTGAGACTCTCTTCCTCAGGGCGCCTGGGTGGCTCAGTCGTTAAGTGTCTGCCTTCGGCTCAGGTCAAGATTCCAGCGTCCTGGGATCGAGCCCCGCATTGGGCTCCCTGCTCCACGGGGAGTATGCTTCTCCCTCTCTCACTCCCCTGCTTGTGTTCCCTCTCTCACTGTGTCTCTCTCTGTCAAATAAATAAAATTAAAAAAAAAAAATTTTTATTTAAAAAAAAAAAAGACTCTCCTCCTCCTTCTGCCCCTGCCCCCACTCTCTCTCTCTCTCTAATGATATCTTTAAAACAAACACACACACACAGAGAAGAAAGGTAGCCCTGTAATCAAACATTAATTTAAAAAATTATTTTAGTATTTTATTTATTTGTTTATTTGAGAGAAGAGAGAGGAGCAAATCTGCCAAGCGCAGAGCCGGACACGGGGCTTGATCTCTCAATCCTGAGATCATGACCTGAGAGAAAATCAAGAGTCAGACACTTAACCAACTTAGCTACCCAGGTACCCCTAAAATAATTTTTTTTTGGCTTTATTTAAATTCAAGGTCGTTAACAAATAGTATATTATTTTTAGGGTAGAACTGTGATTCATCAGTTGCATAGAACACACATTGCTCATAACCTTATTGTCCATCAACCCATCAGCCCATCCCCCCAAAATTTTATTTTCTAAATTATAAAGGAAAACCTAAGTTTTTCTCATAATCTTCCAATAGGACTGTATATGTAGCTGTTTAAAAAAGCAATGAAAAATAAATTGATCATACATTTATTACCTGTTTAAAAGTTCGAAGTCTATCCAGTGTTCTTTGTCTCTCCTGGCTAACCCAAGCACTTTTTCTTTCTTCTTCGTCATGCAATTTTTCTCTCTTCTGGTAAAAAATTAATAGTAATTCCATTATGATGTGTCCCATTCATTTTTATTATTAACTAGGGGGTAGGAGTGGGGGGGGAGTTCTCCCAATAAGTAAAATGGGTAACTCCAAAGAATGATTCATTAAACAAAGTGTTTCATAGCATGAAACTACTAGTTTTTAATAGAAATCATAGTTTTAAAATTCACAATGATATGCTGACAAAAAAAATACTGTTTCTTTTTTTGCATTTACCCACAATTAAAGATGTTTACTCTGAAAAGTAAAATCATATCTTCTCTAGATTAAAAAATGTTCCATCTTTGAGGTTCTGGCTTAAAGAGTTTAAATATAAAATACCTGTAGCTGCTCTATTCTGCAAAATCAAACAGTTCACCTTAAAAATAAAATCAGCAGCCACCTGGCCAATAGTTTAGATACTGCACCATCATTCAAACAATATAACCAGCAGTTAGGAAAAAAAAGTATTTCTCGCAGTATTCATGAATCATCTGGATTAGTATCACACCTTGAAACTGAGTTATCTGCACAGAAATTTAAAAATTTCCCTATGTTAATGCTAACTGGTAGTAACTGTGGAAAACAGTTTATATGTCTGGAGTATGGAGGCTCCTCAAAAAATTAAAAATAGAATTACCTTATGATCCAGTAATTCCACTACTAGGTATTTACCTAAAGAATATGCAAACACTAATTGGAAAAGATATATGCACTCCTATGTCTACTGCAGCACTATTTATCATAGCCAAATTATGGAAGCAGCCCAAGTGTCCATCTATAGATAAATGAATAAAGAAGCTTTGGCATATATAAAACAATACTGCTCAGCCATAAAAATAATGAAAACTTGCCATCTGCAACAACATGGATGGACCTAGAGAGTATAATGCTAAGTGAAATAAGAGAAAGACAAATACCATATGATTTCACTTACATGTGGAATTTAAGAAACAAATGAGTAAAGGAAAAAAGAGACAAACCAAGAAACAGATTCTTAACTATACAGAATAGATCATTGCCAGAGGAGAGGTGGGTGGGAGGAAAGGGTGAAAGATGTAATGGGGATTAAGAGTACACGTTTCATGATATGCACTGAGTAATGTAAAGAATTGTTAAACGATTATATTATACACATGAAACAAACAGAACACTGTATGTTAACTATACTGGAATTAAAAAATAAAATTCCTTATGCTGCTGAATCACCTAAAAGGTATCAAATTAAATCTGATTTCACAGAACAAGAATTAAATGAAAAGGCTATGATTTTATTTCCTGCTTTGTTTTAAAAACTAGGAGATACCTCCTACAAGATCAATTAATTTCGTGTGAAGAGGACCGTGGTCTCCAGTGTGTCATTAACTTGTCTCTCTTCCATTTGTCCTTTTCAAATTCAATTTTCCATTATTATCTTACTCTATTACCTCTCTTGTTTCCCACCAGCTTTTCCCTGGACAATTTCTAGTGAGAGTTACTACTTCATTTGTCTTGGATGATTATACTGAAATCTAAAGGATGATTTGAATCTTTAGGCTGAAAGTGACCATCCAGTTTCAGGAAACACTGATGCACAATGATCACCTGGTAAAGTTACTAGACTTCCACAACAAACAAAGACTCTTTTTGAGTATCCACGCAGAAAACTCAAGTCTCATGGAGGATGGGTGGAGGGAGGGGAAACCTCAGGCCTCTCACTGCAACATTCAAAGCTACAAGAAAGTGTTTAACAATGTCTCCAAATTTGGTGGAGAGAAAATATGACAGTATGACCTAGACAAATTGTCTCTTAGGAAATGCCAGAACACAGAATATATGGTAACCATAAAACTTTCCTGAAATGGTACCTCAATGAAATCTAGCTCTAAGATGAATCAAAATAAACTCAGGAAGAGGAGTTGTGATAATCTATTTTGGTGGTTTTTTCTTCATAGTTTTTTTTCTGTATTGCTTTATTCTTTTATAACAATCATTTATGTCTTTTTATAAACACAGTAAGGTTTTTAAAAATGAGTAAGAATGGTTGAGAAGCATTTTTGCAAGCCACTAATTAAAATTGCTTTTAATAGAAGAATTTTTAAAGTAGCAGTAAAGACAAAGTTTAGAATATGCTTTTTTAAATCTGGTAAGTGATCAAAATTTATACACATCAGGATACTCAATTATTCAGGAAAAAAACCACCTTGCTTATAGATAGTAAAATAAAATTAGAAAATATTAAGAGCAAGGAAACTTTTTTAAGATCGTATAATAAAAAAGGATGGCACGTTAAAATACCATCTAAGAGAGTAATATGTTAGGGGAAAAGCAGCTGAAGATAAAGAAATTCCATTCTTCCATCAAACACATCAATTACCTGTCAGCCAGGCCCTATCGTAAGCCCTAGGAAAGCAGAAGGGATGTGTACGTGGTGCTGAGGAAGAATAGGCATTAAATAGACCTGGAGGTTTAGCTGTCAAGCACCAAGTAAGAAACAGACCCTGCTGGAGGTGCAGGTGGTGAAAAAGAGGAAAAAGAAGAGAGCACAGGCAGTAATCTCTTGGACAACAGCCTTAGCAACATTTTTCTAGATAGGTCTCCTCAGGCAAAGGAAACAAAAGCAAAAATCAAGTACTGGGACTACACCAATATAAAAAATTTTGGCACAGTGAAGGAAACCATCAGCAGAATGAAAAGACAACCTGCTGAATGAAAGAAGATATTTGCAAATGATATGTCCAGAAAGGCATTAAATCTGAAATATATAAAGAACTTATACAACAATACCAGAGAAAAAAATAATAATCTACTTTAAAATGGGCAGAGGATTTTTCAAAAGATATTCAAATGGCCAACAGACACATGAAAAAATGCTCAACATCACTAATAATTGGGGAAATGAAAATCAAAACCACAGTGACATATCACCTTACACCTGTCAGAATGGCTAGAATGAAAAAGACAAGAAATAACAAGTGTTGGCAAGGACATGGACAAAAGGAAGCCTCGTGCACTGTTGGTAGGAGGGTAAACTGGGGCAGCCACTGTGGACAACAGTATGGAGGCTCCTCAAAAAAACTAAAAATAGAAATATCCCATGATATAGTAATTCCACTTTTGGGTATTTACCCAAAGAATACGAAAACTTTAATTCAAAAGGCTATATGCACCCCTATCTTTGTTGCAGCATTATTCACAATAGCCAAAATATGTAAGCAACCAAAGTGTCCATCAAAAGATGAGTGGATGGAGATGGGTATGTACAATGGAATATTACTCAGCCATAAAAAGAATGAGATCTTGCCATCTGTAACAACATGGATGGACCTAGGGGGTATTATGCTAAGTGAAGTAAATCAGACAAATGTTTTATGATCTCACTTACATGTGGCATTTAAAAAACAAAATAAACAACAACAACAAAAAAGCAGAAACAGACCCATCAGTACAAAGAACAAACTTGTGGTTTCCAGAGGGAAGAGAGATGGGCAGGTGGGAAAAGGTGCTTGGAGGGCAATGGAAGGTACCAGCTTCCAGCTATGCAATGAGTAACTCACAGGGATAAAAGATGCAGCGCAGGGAATGCAGTCAGTGGTACTGTCACAGTGCTGTGCGGTGACAGGCAGGAGCTGCACTGGCAGTGAAGACAGCATGATGTAGAGAACTGTCACATCAGTATCTGTACACCCGAAACTGAAACTAACATACCGTTGTGTGTCAACTACACTTCAATTTTAAAATATCTTCTGTTAGAAAAGAAAGTATTATGAACAATAAACTAGATAAGAGACTACATCTTAACTGTTCAACACTACAAGAGATTGTACTTATGTGATACCATAGAGATGTTAGCAATGGCAATCATACTGCAAATGGAATGCATCAAATCAATATGCTACATCTTAAATTTGCACAATGTTGTATGGAAATACATGAATTAAAAAAAACTGTCAAAAAATGGTTTTTAAAAAAACCACTGTAACCAAAATAATCTTAAAACTTCTGATCAGTTTTCATAAACTACACCTTAAAATTATTGTTTGTACTTTTTTTTTTTTGACAGAGAGAGACACAGTGAGACAGGGAACACAAGCAGGGGGAGTGGGAGAGGGAGAAGGAGGCTTCCCGCTGAGCAGGGATCCTGATGTGGGACTCGATCCCAGGACCCTGGGATCATCACCTGAGCCGAAGGCAGACGCTTAACCGACTGAGCCACCCAAGCGCCCCTGTTTGTACTTTCTTGAAGTGAAACCCATCAGTTATGAATGTGGTTAATAAAACAAGAATTCACTTTTTAATGGGAAAACTGACTTGTGTCCCCACCACCATTTCCTTCTCTTACTCAATTTGTCTCTGAGCTTAAAAAAAAAAAAAAGTAGCTTTACATTTTCTTTATTGTTTCAGAGGCTTACTATCAAATATTAAAATAAACTTCCTTAGTCTTATTTAATTTGCAAGGATTTCCAGAATAAATTTTTTTTTTTTTTAAGATTTTATTTATTCATTTGAGAGACAGAGAATGAGAGACAGAGAGCATGAGAGGGAGGAGAGTCAGAGGGAGAAGCAGACTCCCCGCTGAGCAGGGAGCCCGATGTGGGGCTCGATCCCGGGACTCCAGGATCATGACCTGAGCCGAAGGCAGTCACCCAACCGACTGAGCCACCCAGGCGCCCCACCAGAATAAATTTTTGAGACAATAATGTTAGTATGTAGGAATGCACATTTTAAACCACCCAAGAGATTTTAATAAAGGTGGTTTAAACCTAGCTTTGAAAAACAATGATTTGGGGCGCCTGGGTGGCTTAGTCAGTTAAGCACCTGCCTTCGGCTCAGGTCATGTTCCCAGGGTCCTGGGATCGAGCCCCGCATCGGGCTCCCTGCTCAGCAGGGATCTCCCTCTCCCTCTGCCTGCCGCTCCCCACTGCTTGTACTCTCTCTCTCTCTCTGCCAAATAAATAAAATCTTTAAAGAGGAAAAAAGAAAAACAATGATTTATTTTAATGTAAGCCAACTTGCCTTTTCCTACAGTTATGCACGTTAAGGAAAAGGAGATGGTTAGTGGGCTCATCTCCCATACTTAGCATTCCACCCAAAGCTGGTATTCGGCAGAATTAAAAGGCAGATGACATTTATCTTTGAGATCTCCTCAAGTATCAGTTTCCTCATTTTTACTCTTCTTTGCCCTAAGAAACTCTTGGAGAAAGGATTTGATAGTCATTCTAAAAAACTAATTAGGGGCGCCTCGTAGCTCCTTCAGTTGTGTCTGCCTTTGGCTCAGGTCATGATCCCAGGAGCATTGGGCTCCCTGCTCTGTGGGGAACCTGCTTCTCCCACTCCCTCTACCTGCTGCTCCCCAATTGTGCTGTCAAATAAATAAAAATCTAAAAAAAAAAAAAATTTAGTTACTACATCTACCAAAGTAGTGGCAAAATCTTCATAGAGTAATGTTTAAGCATGGGATCTCAAGAGCACTCTGATGGCACAGGTACGGAGGCTGATAGGAGGCGTTCTTATTTGCCTGTTTGGTCCATTATCTACCGTTTACAAGGCAGTTTCTGATCTATGAAAAGCACAATGAAAAATAAAAGTGCAAGAATTAATTTTGCTATTTCTAGTTTCTTGGAGAATGATGAATTTTACAGTTTATGGGTAGTTTGGCTACTTTTATGTGTTTAAAATCAAGAGTAACGGGCAACTTTAACTAATATGTGCCAAAATGAGCTTAAGGGATTAATACAGAAAAATTTAAGCCATTTGGCCTTTAGGGTGACAAACACTATATAAGCACATACAGTGATATGGTCATGTCAGCATTTCTACTATTCAATGAAATTTAAAATTATTGGTTGAGTAATCTAAGACACGGTGTCTGAAAAGACTACTATCAGGATAATACACTACAGACATAATGAGGTGGAGCGATGCTGGGAGAAGATTTCTAATGCAATTTTTTAAAAAAGTGAACTAATGATCTCAGTAAATCACAGAGAGAAAGTTCCTCACCTTGATAAGGAATATCTACAGAAAACCCTATAGCTAAGCATGGTAGTTAATGGTCAGAAACAAGACGCCTTCTTGCTAAGATCAGGAGAAGACAAAGCTGTCCCCTCTCACCATTCCTTCTTGGTGAGCATCATACTGAAAGTCCTAGCTACTGGAAAAAGTGGAGTTAAGTAAAAGGTGTACAGATTGGGATAGAAGAAATACACCTCTCTTCATTTGCAGATGACAAGATCGTTCATGTAGAAAACCTAAAAGAACCAACAGAAAAAGAAAGCTCCTGGACTAATGAGTGGATTATAGCTCGGCTACAGGATACAAGGTTGACATAGAAAAGCCAAATGCTTTCTAATGTACCAGCAACGAACATCTCAAAGTTTAATATTAAAAACTATTTACAGGGGCGCCTGGGTGGCTCAGTCGGTTAAGCGTCTGCCTTCGGCTCGGGTCATGATCCCGGGGTCCTGGGATCGAGCCCCGCCTCGGGCTCCCTGCTTGGCGGGAGGCCTGCTTCTCCCTCTCCCACTCCCCTGCTTGTGTTCCCTCTCTCACTGTGTCTCTGTCAAATAAATAAATAAAATCTTTAAAAAAAAAAACAAAACAAAACTACATTACCATCAAAAAAAGAGAGATTTAGGCACAAATCTAATAAAATATGAATAAGATCTATATGAGGTCAACTATAAAACTTATAAAAGAAATCAAAAAAGATCTTAATAAATAGCTAATTCCTTGTTTATAGACAGGAAGACACAATATTAAGGTGTCCATTATTCTGAAACTTAACCTATACATATGATGTAATCCTAGTCAAAATGTCAGTTGCTTATTTTGTGGTTACTGACTAGCTTTGGAGCAGCAGAAGACCTAGATCAATATAACAACACAGAGTACAAAGTAGACCCAAATATATTTAATCAACTGATCTTTAACAAGAGCAAAGGCAATCCAATGGAGAAATGACAGTTTTTGTGTTTTTTTTTTAAAGAAATGGTATTGGAACAACTACACACTCACATTTAAAAAGAAGTTTAGCTACAGACCCTATACCCTTCACATACATTAACTCAAAACAGATCACAGACTTAAATGTAAAATAAACTATAAAGCTCCCAAAATATAACACAGTTTTGAGAAAATACAGATGACCCTGGGTTTGGAGAGGACTTTTTAGATACAGCACCAAAAGTACAACTCATGAAAGAAAGAAGTGATAAGCTGGCCTTCATTAACATTAAAATTAAAATAAAAAATATCCTGTTCTGCAAGAGATGCTGTCAAGAGAATGAAAAGACAAGCCACAAATTTGGAGAATATCTGCTTTTTAAAAAACCCTGTCTGATAAAGGACTTTATCCAGAATAAAGAATTCTTAAAACTCAATAAAAAGAAAACCCAATTGAAAAACCAGAAAAAGATCTGTACATAACCTCAGCAAAGAAGATATACAGATGACAAGAAAGCACTGTGAAAAGATGCTCATTATCATACACCACTAGGGAACTGCAAACTAAACATTCATCAGATACCACCACATTCCTAATTAAAATGGCTAAAATACAAAACACTGACAATACCAAATGCTGGTAAGGATATGGAGCGATAGGAACTCTCATTGTTGGTAGCAATGCAAAGTGCTATAGCCACTGTAGTAGACAGTTTCGCAGTTTGCTACAAAATTAAATCAACTCTTACCTTTATAATCCAGCAATCGTGCTCCTTGGTATTTACTCAAGAGATGAAAACTTATGTGCACACAAAAACCTGTATGAATGCTTATAGCAACTTTATTTATAAGTGCCAAAACACAGGAGCAACCAACATGTCTCAATAGGTTAATCGATAAACTGTGGTGTACCCAGACAATGGAATATTATCTGGCACTAAAAAGAAATAAACTATCAAGCCATGAAAATGCATGGAGGAAAAAAAAAAAAGATAGAAAATGAATGGAGGAATATTAAATGCATATTACTGAGTTATGTCCATCAGAAAAGGCTACATACTGTATGATTCCAATTAAACATTCTAGAAAAGGCAAGACTGTAGAGACAGTAAAAAGATCAATGGTTGCCAGGGGTGTGAAGAGAGAGGGGGATGAATACATAGAACACAGGACATTCTCAGGGTGGTGAAAATGTTCTGTATGATATTATAATGGTGGATTCATATCCTATCACTATACATTTGTCAAAACCAATAGAACACACATCACCAAGAATGAACTCTAAACTCCATTATGGACTTCAGGTGATACCGATGTATCAATGCTGATTCACTGACTGTAACAAAGGTACAACACTCTGGTTGGAAGGAGAAGCTGTGCATGTGTGGAAGTATATAGGAACTTGTATATAGGAAGTATATAGGAACAAACTGTCTAGTCAATTTCTCTAAAACTGTTCTAAATAATAATGTATGCATATATATGCATACATATTGAACTACATACATTCCTACATACATATATATGGAATTAATGCTAACATCTAGTTATTCACATTTTCTTATTCTCTATTCACTTTGAGACATGTAAAAATCAAAGTTTTCTTCTAAGTCTCCACAAGTCCAAACTTACTAGTTGTACTGTGTGATGGGTTCTATATTCATCTTCACTCCGAAGGCGCTGTTGGAACTTTTCATTGTGTTTTGCAATACAAATTTCCTATAAATACATAAAATGTGTTTTAATGTAAGTGAAACCTGAAAGACTCGGACACCATACCAGAGTTTATTTAACTGGGTTTTAGTTTTAATCTTAACATGTACCTACATAGGGCACCTGGGTGGCTCAGTTGTTAAGCATTTGCCTTCAGCTCAGGTCATGATCCCAAAGCCCTGCATCGGGCTCCCTGCTCAGTGGGAAGCCTGCTTCTCCCTCTCCCTCTCCCACTCCCCCTGCTTGTGTTCCCTCTTTCACTCTCTCTCTCTGTTAAATAAATAAAAATCTTTAAAAAAACTTAAAACAAAAACATGTACCTACAATAGCAAAACACCAAGTAGGCCACGTTTGGTTTCTCATCTGGAGTACTGAAGCAGCAGAAACCAAATCATTAGGATCTAAGAAAAATATTAACTTCTCTAGAACAACTCTTTTCTAAGTTTTTTTTTTTTTGGACGGGGAGGGATACAGCAAGATAGAGTGGACAAGGGTATCCTTAGATAATCTCAAAGCTCTCTTTAAGCTCTGAAGTCTGTGGCCAAAAGATTCTAAGTCTTATTGTACTCTTTAAACTAGTTTGAGTAAAAAAGGATATACAACCCTTGGCTGAAAGTCTGTATTCTAAACTCTGATGGGTTAAAGAACATGATTTTGCTTGGAGTGGCTTAAATGGTATTATGAAATCTGTACCTTATGGTCAGAGATTGAGTGAAAAGGAACCTTAAAGATAAAAAAAAGTCAGAATGACAAAAAAAAAATATATATATATATATGAATGCTTATTCTAATCACATGAAAATAAAAACATAATAATAAACTAGGAAATACATGCCTCTTTACAAAATAACGCACTATCATCTGGCAACATTTAATGGCACCACGCTACGTCTTTTTCCCTCGGTCTTCCTAGAGAAGTCCTCCAGATAAAAAGATGACCATTAGTTTCCAACACTCTCAAAACTATACCAAAAGATCAATCTTCTAACCAGAGAAAGTGATATAATGAATGACCTTTTAAGCCCATGAACTACACTGTAAAGCAACTGTGTTGTCTTTTTCACCAACACTGGGTTGACTCTATTGCCTAACAAGTACAGATCCTGAAATTAAACTGTTCAGGGCAGTCTCCAGGGGGATAACAAAGGTAGTATTATATATAAGTAACATGATACGGTGGTACAATGACTCAGGCTTCTAAATCACACAGACCTAAGACAGAATCCTATCATTGCACAGTAACTAGCTGCTTTTCTCTGGGTGATTTATTTAACTATCAGGAGCCTTAGTTCCCTTGATTACAAAATGAGAATATAGGTCCCAAGTCCCTTATTTTCAGATTTTAGAAAGGTGGTATGTTGCATATACACTACCCAGTAACTCCAGCAGGATCTGAAAGAGCGCCCTAAAAGTAATACTAACATTTTTGCAGTGAAATATATGAATAGTCAAATTAAGTGGGACTATGAGATGGACAACTTCCTCTCAGCTCAGGTCTGGTCTTGTCACCAAACCAAGTATGAGAATGCTTTTGGTTTTTGGAGCTTTCTCGGCTTTAGGCAAAAGATTATTACCTCATTTGACTAGTGGTATCATTAAAGAAGATAAAAAATGCATAAAGAATAATGTTGTTTTTATTATTTTTCTTAAAAAGTCCAATCACAAAGCGCAGATTTCAAGCTCTCATGGCATAGCCAGAGACCATCTTTGTTTTTTCAAGAGGAGAAGCAGGACATGATTTTCTTAGAACTACCCTTGGGTATGCAATTCTACTGTGGATATTGGGTAAACCAAGCACCCTGGGACTGTGGGCATGATGACATGGAGACAAGGATTATAAGACGACGTTACATGGAGAGGTGTGTTTTTATCTTTTATATCATACAGTTGATCTTCTCGTTGTCTTTCTTTTTACGACTTAGTGTTTCTAGTTTTCTCTCTTTCCAGCCATCTTTTGTCAGTACTTCCTCCCCCTGCAGACCTGCCACCCCAGATGGTAGGCTTGGAGGGACAGGGGTAAGGATGGGAGAGGACACGACCCTCGAGGGCCCCTGACTCTGTGTGATGTGATGGGTTGCAGCAGATCTGAGGCTGCTGGTATAAACAGGCAGATTCTCTGGGGGTGCCTTTCCCTACCTCAGAATTAGATTAATATATATATAATTCCTTCAAGACTGAGGTCAGAACCAAGACTTCATTTAGAACAGCACTGGCCTCCTTAAATAATGAGGAGCCAGGAACTGCATTACATGGGATCCTGCAGTCATGCCCTTTAGCAGAGTCACCTTCAGGGTGCCACAGGTAAACAGGACATCATCACTGGCTGTTCTAATGTTAACAGGGCAGCTCTCGGAGAACTATAAAATGTTAATATAATGGCTCAAGTATTGGAAAGAGGTAACTCTCACTTAGTTTTAAAACAAGTATTAGTGACAAACCAGGTTAGAATTAGATATGGGTCAAGGACTAAGTAATGACTAAAAGCAGGATTTAAAATTAAGGCTGTCTATTCAATAAATACCTATTATACCTTTTTATTTCTGAGGTAGGCTTTCTTGGCTGAAACCCGTCCACGTCTTGCTTCTAGCTGGCGTGCTTTCTGCTGAAGTTTCTGTAGCTCTTCTCTCTGTAAGTGCACAGATGCTGCCATTTCTTCCTTCTCCAGCATGGCCTCCATGCTTTCGTAAGTGTCATAGTATACCACTTCATCTCTCTTTTCTAGAACAAAACAGCAACAAGGGGTAGTAGTTAATAGCATGGGCTATGGAGCCAGACAGAACATGGTTCTAATCCACTTATTGGTTCTGTAACCTCAGGCAACACCACCCCCCTTAGTTTTTCATTAAGACTCCGTTTGATCCTGTATGTCTTTAATTTTCTTTTTTTTTTTTTCTTTCAGTAAGCTCTACAGCCAAGCATGGGGCTTGTATTCATGACCTCTTGAGCTTCTTTGTAAAACAGTGATTATTGGGAAATACACCTTCTAGGGTGAGTGTGTGTAGGAAGTGCTCAGCAGTGTCTGGCATGCAGTTAAGTGCTCAACAAATGTTAAGTATCATCCCCAAAACTCAAAAATTTTCTGGCTGAAACAACCTAACAAAAGTAAGCATTTTACATAAGTAATACATAGTTGCATTGCTGACTCTACTTAATGACTTGAGTTTAAGAGCTCCTCTAAAAGGTTTTATGTTAAGACTTTTTTAGTCTCAAAATTTCAAGAAACACAGCTGACAAATATATATATTTTCTCTATGTTTTCAATTTTTTCTGGATTTATGTGGTTGAATGCACACCATACCCGATATAAGTCTTTTGATGCTTTCCAGTTGGGCTGTCAATAATAACTCTTCACACTTCAGGATTTCAAACTGTACTTCATACAACTGAAGTTGCAGATCATAATAATCAGCTTCTAACTGATCCAATCGGGCTATGGCTTCTGTACCACCCTGCAAACTCTGCATCTGTGTGAAAATAAAATAAAAATGTTTCTAGCTGGTGGGGACAGGAAAAAAAAAATCAAGTTAGGATTAGAAATGAATACTAATCATACAGCATAAATCCATGAATCAACTGTGCCAAGAAAAAAACTTAGAGGCAAGAAGTAAAGATGTTTTAAAAGAAAAATAGTAATAATCGAGACATAATACAATTTTGGAAATAACTAGACAAACATGAAAAATTAACTTATTATTACAGATCATGTTTAGAATCTATTATTCTAATTATTATGATACAAATATTAAAAGTGTTCTTTCCTCTCAAAAGTAGATATGCTAAGTTATTCAGTTTTCTTTTCCATATACGAAAAAGATTATATATGGATGAGTAAGATTAAGCTATACTGGGATAGTTACAACCAAGGGATAAAAGTCTGGTTTCCCTACACATCCAGAGATGTTTTGTGCTCCATGGTCACAGCCTGGCTAGGTTCTGGAATCTGGTGAGTGGGGAGCAAAGTGAGTGGGTGTGACGAGAACATGACAAAACTGATTTTCTAGAAATCCCTGCAGTCTACTGATAATGATAACTATTATTATCTTTAAGTAATGCACTCAGGATCCTATATCCACCCTAAGGTGGAACTCAAGATTTCTAAGCATGTCTCATGAAGTGGTAGTTGGTCATGCATGAGGTTTGCTTGGTTGCTCAATTGGGTTTTGGTCCTGAAAAGACAGGGAGAAGAGATTTTGCCAGGCATTAGAAGGAAATTACTATCAGCAAAGTATGCTTCAGGCATTAGTCCCCAACCCCATTATTTCCATGAATTCCTACTTGGCTCTATGGAGAAAGGTGGCAGTAAGAAGGAGCTGACAGAATGGCCAGCAGTCTGTGAAGTACAAGCATGTGAGAGAGTAAAGCATTCTCCCAGAACATTTCTTCTAAGAATATAGTGCTACCCACTTTTGCAGTTTAAAGATTCATGCTTAGAAACTCCAGGAGCCCACTGGCACAGGTACCAGTGTGCCCTGGGGGAACTAGCAACATTGGTGAGGAGGCCCTGGCCTCAACTGGCACCCCAGTAAGTGACTACCAAAAGGGTAGAGGAGGAACAGAGGAAAAAGGGAAATGTTTTGGGAGCTCAGATGAGGGGTCATTTGGGGCTCCCAGAATACTAAGGAGATAGTTGGCTGGTACTCTTGGGACAGCTGTGACAGCAAAGACAGTTCTTATTGCTGCAAAATAATCCTTTCTGTCTAGTGAGGCTAGCAAAACATGGTAGCACATAGAGAGAGTATGTTTTAAACAAGAGTCCAGCCTTTCCTTTACATTCTACTCAACACAGTCTTACCTAAAGACTAGAATATATATATATATATATTCATATATACATATACATATATCTATTAGCACATAATTTCAAGTTCCTTTTAAACTGCAAAGCAACATGGGGCGCCTGGGTGGCTCAGTAGGTTAAACATCTGCCTTCGGCTCAAGTCATGATCTTGGGGTCCTGAGACTGAGCCCTGAATCAGGCTCCCCACTCAGCAGGGAGGCTGCTTCTCCCTCTCCCTCTGCTCCTCCCCCCAGTCATGCGTGCATACGATGCTCTAATAAGTAAATAAAATCTTAAAAAAAAAAAAACAAACCTGCAAAGCAACAGTTGGACTGTGATCTAAATGTCCAATGGTACACATTTAAAAATAACCAGGTAAATTAAATACAATGTTATTTAATAAATGTTATAAAAATAGTATAAATATTTAATGAATTAGAAGCCAGAGATTCTGTTGCATTAGGAAATATTTTATGACTGACCAACAATAAATATAGAACCAGAAAAGGGTTTCACATTATAGTGGCTTGTAGAGAATGTTGACAAAATGAAATCCTGCTGTTTTTGAAAATAGGAATCTAAGGTGTCATTTCTTTCCTCAGACCCCCAGTCTCACTTTAAATTATTAACAACCCTTTGCATACTGTCTTGGGTCTCTTATCCAGCTTTGGAGACTGTAGCTCCAGAATCCAGAATCCTGTTATCCACACCACACTTTCTTTGCGCACAGCATACAAACACGTGAAATATGTAATTTTAGAAGCTTTATTTTCTAGGGAATTATAATCAGTTAAGATAAAACCTTAATATGCATTGGTCTAAAAACCTTCTCATAAGATCAGTTCCAGTGACAATGTTCAGGTAGAAATCCAGGATGTTAGTTCCACCTTCACTATCTTTAGTTCTCTCCAGCTGGAAAGAACCATTTATGTGCCATGTTCATAACACTGTGCTAAAGCTTCCCCTAGCACTCTCTAAGTTTGACTCTCTTGTCTAATACTTAGGCTAAGGAAAAAAGTTGAGAGCCCCCTGTTGACATACCTTTACACAGTCAGTCAGTATCACATATCAAACTGAGAAAGGACGGGGTGTTTCCTTACAAGAAGTGACCTCACCCCCACCTTTCTGGTTTACTGAGTTCTATTCAAAGCAAGGGATTCCAGAAGTGGATCTGCCATGGCGAGGTTCAAAAAGGACAAAACCTCATCAGAGGCAGAAATGCAGACTAAGGATCTGTTGAATCCCAGCCTCTGAGAAAACAAACAATCGGGCAGCAGTGGGCATCAGGGCAAGTAAAAGGGTTGTAAGGACTCAGGAGAGAGGACTTTTATGGGATAAGCTAAAGAGAAAGGGATTAAGAGACAAATCAGGGAAATCTGGAAGGGCAAAACTGTCCTCTGAGGTTATTTAAACTTTAACAGTGAGGCAAAATCCTCAGTGAAAGACATGCAGAGATATGGGAAGGCTATGCTGCACCAAATCTCTTCCCCTATTAGCTGTAATTTCCAGACTGATTTTTTCCTGGCACCTACTTCAGCTGACAGCCACAGAACTAAGGGAATGGGGATCCAGAGTGAAAGGACTACTATTTCTGGACAATGGAGCAGTGCAGAGAAAGTAGGTGCCACAGTTGGGGCACCTTTTTTATGCCTGAGGTCACTGCTTCCCTGGGCAAGAAGGAAGCCTAGAAAGTAGGTTAAGCGCTCAAAGGAAGACAACAGAATGCCAATGAAAACTTTGCTACCCTGAAATTTTACTCAGCTCAACTTTTACCTTCTGAAAAAACTTAAAAAAAAAAAAGATCTATTTATTATTTGAGAGAGAGCGTGCATGGGCACAAGAGAGGGTGAGAGCACATGAGCCAGGGGAGGGGCAGAGGGGGAGAGCAAGAGAGAGAATCCCAGGCAGACTCCCCACTGAGTGCAAGCCTGACAAGAGGCTTGGTCCCACAAAACCAAGATCACAACCCAAACCAAAACCAAAAGTTGGACACTCAACTGACTGAGTGACCCAGGCGCCCCCTGAATAAACAAACTTTTGCTATCAGGATATCAAGACCCCAAAACAAACTGCCTTCCCAATGTGACCCTGCGATAATACCAGCAACGTTGGAACCTGACCCAATTCTCCCAATTCCTACAATTATGGCCTTTCCACCAGACAGAAGTAGGGAGGAGCATTCTATTAAGTATAAAAAAGGAAATAAAGCAAAATGTTTTTTACAGTAAATCTAGCAAGAAAATTAAGTATAAATCAATATCCATACATCCACGTAAGTACATCATACACTACTGACCCCACTGATCATTCCCACCAGGCACATTAACAGTAATGGTTTTCTTGTGTACCTATTGTGACTATAGAAAATCATGAAACCAGACATAAAGCAGTTAATGCCCCTGTCCTGCCTTTCACCCTACTGTGCTAGGTAAAAACCTCATGACATGTGAGGGGCTACGAAAAAATAAAGCTTTCAGCGTATCTGTGGGTGGAGTCATTCATCCAAGAAATACTCACTGGGCACCTGGTGCTGTCTGAGTTACACAGAGTATGGCAGTGAGTAATAAATGAAGTGAGGGGTCAAAGAGTCGTCATGAAAACCACACACAGAACAAGAGAAATAACATTAAAGGAAAGCTCAGCAAGCTCTCAATCAAGACTAGCCCTTTTATTACGTGGCAAAGATAGTACATGAGAAATGGTACCAGATAAATCTGAGTATAGAGTTTCCACCAATAACAGCTACACAAATATGGAGAATACATATAAACAGAAGGAATTATCTGAAATTCCACATTTTAGAAATCCTAGAAAACTAAAAACAGCCTTAATTTCTTTGATGTCAAAACCTAATATTACAATCCATTTGTAGGAAGATATGATCTGAACTGATGTAAAGCCCTATTTATTCCATTTAATATAATGTTTCATTATTGGAAAAGTAACACTTGTCTAGAAATTATATACCCTAAATTATCTAAAATATGAAAAACTTAGAATTCTAAAACAGATCTGGGGACGCCTGGATGGTTCAGTTGGTTAAGCATCTGCCTTTGGCTAGGGTCATGATCCCAGGGTCCTGCCGGCATGATCAGATCATGATCTCACGGTCCTGCTGAGCAGGGAGCCTACTTCTCCCTCCCCCCCCACTCATGCTCTCTCTCTCTCTCAAATAAATGAAATCTTAAAAATAAATAAAATAGATCTGGCCTCAGGGGTTTCAGATAATGGCTTATAAGCTTGGAATATAAAGGGTTATGTTCAAAAATAAAATGAGACAATATATAAAGCACTAAGTATAGGGCCTAAAACATTTAAAACTTTCCTATTTATTTTTTTGTAACCAATATCAAAGTATATTTAGATGGCTAAAACAGAATTTGATAAGTAATATAAATTAAGACTTTTGGGGCGCCTGGGTGGCTCAGTCGTTAAACGTCTGCCTTTGGCTCAGGTCATGATCCTCGGGTCCTGGGATCGAGCCCCACACATTGGGCTCCCTGCTCAGCGGGAAGCCTGCTTCTCCCTCTCCCTCTGCCCCTGCTTGTGTTCCCTTTTTCACTGTGTTTGTCTCTCTCTCTGTGTGTGTCAAATGAATAAATAAAATCTTAAAAAAAAAAAAAAAAACTTTTAGAATGAAACCTAGCTTCTTGTACTTAGGAGACTTTGAAATTTCTGGCATGCAGA